TGGTCATGGGGTTTGAACTCTGGGCCTGGGCACTGTCCCTCAGCTCTTCAGCTCAAGGCTAGCACCCTACCACTTGAGCCACAGCACCACTTCCGTTTTGGGTTTTTTTTTTTTTTTTGCTTATGTGGAGCTGAGGAATCGAACCCAGGGCCTCATGCATGTTAGGCAAGCACTCTAACATTGAGCCAACCTCCCAGCCCCCATGAGATTCTTATACCCAATAAACCACCAGAAAACCAGAAGTGGCTCAAGTGGTAGAGTGCTTGCATTGATCTGAAGAGTCGAGGGACTGCTCCCAGGCCCAGAGTTCAAGCCCCGTGACCAATAAAACAAACAAACAAACAAGGTGTTATCTTGGATGTAGCTAAGGGGTAGAAGCACTTGCCTAGCATGTGCAAGGTTCTTGGTTTGATTCCCAGCATCACACATATACTCACCTATACACACATAAACACACAAACCTAACATGTTTAAAACTAAGTTCTTAATACCCTTTTCAGCCTCCCTTTCCCACAGTCCCACCATATTAATTCAGATTCTGACTTCCAAACATTCAATCCAAAATCTATGGAATTATCCTTGGCTCCTGTCAAGATCATTGGCTAGAGAGCCATCTGACTGTCTCTTCCTTCCTTCCTTCCTTCCTTCCTTCCTTCCTTCCTTCCTTCTTTCCTTCCTTTCTTCTTTTTCTTTCTCCTCTTCTTTCTTCTTCTTTTAACCTTAGGTCTATTGTGGGCCAGAACTCAGGGCCTGAGTTCTTTCTCTCAAGGCTAGTGCTCTATCACCTAAGCTACAGAGCCACTTCCAGTTTTCTGGTGGTTAATTGGAGATAAGAGTCTCATAGACTTGTCTGTCTGGGCAGGCTTTGAACTGAGATCCTCAGTTCTCAGCTTTCTTAGTAACTAGGATTACAGGTGAGAGCCACCAGTGCCTGGCTCTGGCCACTTCTCTGTGGCTCCATTTCCTACCACCTCTGATCCAGATCACATTTATGTCTTACCAGGCTGGCTCCAACAGCCAGCTGAGTGGCTTCACTACCTGTCTTCCCTCAACTTCACAGTCTGCTCCCCACCCACAGCTGCAGCCATGTTTGGACAAGATGAGTTCAATGATAACATTGCTGAAAGCCTTTCAGTATTTTCCTCTCTTACAGAGAATAAACTTCAGTCCTGTAGCTTTTTGTTTGTTTGTTTGTTTGTGGGCCATGGGGCTTGAACTCTGGGCCTGGGCACTGTCTCTGAGCTCTTCAGCTCAAGGCAAGTGCTCTACCACTTGAGCCACAGTGCCACTTCCAGTTTTCTGGTGGTTAATTGGAGATAAAAGCCTCATGGACTTTCCTACCTGGGCTGACTTTGAACCGAGATCCTCAGATCTTAGCCTCCTGACTAGCTAGGATTACAGGCGTGAGCCACTGGTACCTGATTCAGTCCTGGAGTTTGAACTCAGGGCCTGAGCTTTTTTTGCTCAAGGCTAATGCTCTACCATTTGAGCCATGGCTATACTTCTGACTTTTTGCTGGTTAACAGTTAAGAGTTTCAAGGCTGGGAGGGTGGCTCAGTGGCAGAATGCTTGCCTTGCATGCATGAGGCCCTGGGTTCGACTCCTCAGCACCACATAAGTAGGAAAAGTCAGAAGTGGTGCTGTGGCTCAAGTGTTAGGGCGCTACCCTTGAGCTGAAGAGCTGAGGGACAGCGCTCAGGCCCAGAGTTCAGGCCCCATGACCAACCAAAAAAAAAAGTTTCGGGGCTGGGAAGGTGGCTCAGTGGTAGAGCGCTTGCCTTGCATGCATGAGGCCATGGGTTCAATTCCTCAGCACGACATAAGCAGAAAAAGAAAAGCTAGAAGTTGTGCTGTGGCTCAAGTGGTAGAGCGCTAGCCTTGAGCTGAAGAGCTGAGGGACAGCGCCCAGGCCCAGATTCAGGCCCACGATCGGAACCACCCCTCCAAAGAAAAAAAAAAAGTTTCATGGACTTTCCTGCCTGGGCTAGCTTCGAATGGTGATCCTCAGGTCTCAGCCTCCTTAGTAGCTAGAATTATAGTCATGAACCATTGGCTCCTGGTGAAATTTCTTATCATGATCTGTAAGACTCTATGGGTAGTCTGCTATCTGTCAGTCCTCTGGGCTATGGCCTTATTCCACACTGCCTTCCCTTCACCATCTTCCATGCTGTTCCTTGAACAGTTATTGCTTCTGTCTGGGACATTTGCACAGGTGCACGCCTTGCCCCCCTCCTTCCTTTTTATTTTGGGGGGGGTCCGGTCGTGGGGCCTGAACTCTGGGCTGGGCACTGTCCCTCAGCTCTCCAGCTCAAGGCTAGCGCTCTACCACTTGAGCCACAGCGCCACTTCCGGCTTTTTTCATTTTACTTATGTGGTGCTAAGGAATCGAACCCAGGGCCTCAGGCATGCAAGGCAAGCGCTCTACCACTGAGCCACCTTCCCAGCCCTGTCCCCCTCCTTCCTTTATGTCTCTGCCAAAATGTCACTTTACCAAAGGACTCTCTTGCTAAACTAGTACCTTTGACTCCTTGACCTAATTTACTCTGATCCCCTCTGACTTCTTGGCCTAATTTTGTTTACCACTGACCACCTGCTTGACAAAACTAATTTCCATATTTGTCTATTTTCATAAGCAGTAATACTCCGTGGAGACCCTTTGTACCTAGCACCTAGTAGGTGCTCAGCAGCTGGGCAAGGGAAATTGTTTGGAAGATGGAGGAGAATGAAAAAGGAATAGGTTGAACTTGATTGTCAATAGGCAAGGACTGCTTATTGAGGAACAGCAAGGGGCACAGACCTTCCCATGGGATTGGAGGTTGTGCAAGGGACTGGATTTTGGGGTGGGCTTATATAGATCTTAACAACAAGAAGAAAATAAAAAATGGGCTATGGTCTCTTGGAGGCCAAAGGCAATGTCCTTGGCCAGGCCCAAAGTGGAATGCTGGGTGTGGGAGCTATTGTCTTCTGGGGGTCAAGGTCAGAATGACCTGCCTGTGGACAAGCACACGAGCACTCACTTGGTGCTTTGCTTGACCCTGGGGAACACGGCAGAACACAGTCCTTCATATTCCATCTTTTTTTTTTTTTTTGTCAGTCATGGGGCTTGAACTCTGGGTCCAGATGCTGTCCCCTAGCTCTTCAACTCAAGGCTAGCACAGTACCACTTGAGCCACAGAACCACTTCTGATTTTCTGGTGGTTTATTGGAGGTTAGAGTCTCATGGACTTTCCTGCCTGGGCTAGCTTTGAACTGCGATCCTCAGATCTCAGCCTCCTGAAAAGCTGGGATTACAGGCGCCAGGCCATATTCCATCTTTAGATACATAAAAAGATTGGGCCTAGAGAGGAGAGGCAGATCCTTCAGAAATGGGGTTAAAGAACCTGATAAATATAGTCCCTGGTCTGTCTACTTCTCTATGCCCTTTCTTCCTTTCTCTTTCTTCCTTTCCCTCCCTCCCTTCCTCCCTTCCTTCCTTCCTTCCTTTCTCTCTTTCTTTCTCTCTCTCTCTCTCTCTCTTTCTTTCTCTCTTTCACCAGCCCTAGGGCTTGAACTCAGGGCCTAGGGACTGTCCCCAAGTTTCTGTTGTTCAAGGCGCTAGTACTCTACCACCTGAGCTACAACAGCACTTTTGGCTTTTTCTGTGTATGTGGTACTGAGGAATCCAACCCAGGGCTTCATACATGCTAGATAAGCACTCTACTACTAAGCCATATTCCCAGCCCCTCACTTAGCCTTCCTGAGCTTCAGTTTCTCTCTCTCTAAAATGTATAAGAAAGTTTTTAAAAAATTATTAGAAGTAATACATTTACAATACCTGAGACAAGGTCAATTTTAAAGAAAATAGGTACTAAAAAGGCCCTTATGCCCTTCTCTAGGCCTGTTTCCAGGAATGAATATATAGTGCTGTCTCTGTCAGCCCCAGAGGGACAGCTGATAACAGCACATGAAGATAATTCCATATAAGGCATTACTGATTCCATTCTTCACTCTGTGCCCTGATCCAGAGTCTCCTAAGCATCATTCCAAACCTCTTCAGATGGTGATCATGTCTGAGCAGATCCTGCAAGTTGAGACTCTCCAGCCCTGCTCTGGATTTGGGTAGCCCCCAATGGGGGAAGCATAAGGGCTGGCTGGGCATGTGTAGGCTTGTCTGAACATTATGAGTCACAGCCTCGTGGATCCTGCTCTGGCAGAGTGCCTGTGTTTGAGATGTGGCCAACCCTGGGCAGGCTAGGCTATTGCCTAGCTTGCTTGATGTCAAGCAAGTTTTCCCTTGGTGGTCAGGAAAGGTGACTAGAGATAGGTGCTCCTGTATACCACCAGAGGGCGCCATAGGCTGCTGAGCTCTGCTGAAGACTGTCAAGGCAGGAAAGGGGGAGGTATGCTGGCTGACCTGCCTACTATGCTGCTGGGGCATGGCAGCCAAAGCAGGACCACATTAAGGTACTGGAGGTCAGGGTTCCAGGCTCAGTGTTCTTTATTAGAAGCATTAGTGAACCACTTGCTCTGTGATCTCAGCCAGCCTTGCCTTCAGATGCCCATCCTGAGGTGGGGGTGTATCTTCACCTCGTAGGTCATTTGCCTATGTCTGGCTCTGTGCCAGGCAATGGTGGATTTGCCACACCACAGGCCAGAGAGGATATGGCAGCGAACAAAAGGATCACGCCCAGGTCCTTGTCCTAGAGACTACATTCCACCTAAGAGGAGATCTTTAGCTAGAGCCTGCTGTAAGCTGAAGGGGGTATGCCATAGGGACCTCCCTATTCAGCCTGCCAGATGTTCCTCCAGATCAAGGCGGAGATGAGATGAGCAGCCATTGTATCTCCAGGATGTTCCAGAGTTCTCCGTGGCTAGCAGGACTATCAAGGGCAGGATGGCCTGGGCAGTGCCTCAAAGGGGATAGAGGTACCAGAGGCTATAAAAGACAGGATGGAAAAGGGAAACATCAGAGGGAAAGAGAGTCATCTAAGTCCCTTGATGTGACTTCACCAGTCCCAGTTCTTGGCATTACCTATGGTACTTGACAAATCTCTCAGGACCTAAGAGAGTCCCCTTGAACCCTGCATGAACCTTTCCCTCACCATTAGCTCAGAGATAAGAATTATTAAAGCCTTAGCCAAGCATCTTGGAGAGCCTTCTTGCCTGCCCCTCCAGATTTTATCCATTTCTCCTCCAGGTCAGGGCAGCCCCTTCCCAGCCGGCAGAGTGACAGCGCCTGACCTGTCCTGACCTGCACTGGAAGCGAGGGTCTTCAGGGTGGGCCTTCAGCACTTGGCGCACCTCTGGGGGAGGCTCCAAGCCCAATTGCTCTGCCCGATGCCACCGCTGCAGCCGTGTGATCCCTGCCAGGGTGGGAAGAAGAGGCGGGCTTGTGAGGGGCGGGGAAGAAACCAGGCTAGACGATGTAGGGGTGTGTGGGGTCTCAAGAGCTTCCACATCCAGTCTCAGGAGCCGGTGTCCCAATCAGGCAGACACTTGGGTCACTTCTGAGATATGCAGGTGACAAAACTGGCTCAGCAATGCACTGCATGGGCCGGAGTCGGCCGGGGGCTGTTCTCACCTGTGCAAGGCCCGTACTGCCAGGCCAGGTCAAACTGCCGCAGCAGCTCCAGGGCCACTTCCTCCTCGCTGGGGGGCGGGGGCTCCTCCCCTGCAAAGACAGCGGCTCCTCAGGCCTGCCCCAGCCTTTGCCCGGCCGCCCGCCCGAGGCCTCACCAACTGCGCCACTGTTTCCTGGCCTGACTCCCCGCCCCTTTGCCTCTGCCATCCGGCAGCCAGACCGTAGGTCAGAAACACAGAACACCCTCGTTTCCCTTTCCACCCCCCACCACGTCCTCTCGTGTCTGCTCCTCCTGCCGCCCCCAATCTTCAGAAACCTAGTTCTGATGCCAGCGCCTCCTTGTGCCCAGCAGGTCCCTCCCTGTTCTTCACAACTGGATAGGAGTCAGTGATGAGCCGCTTCCGGCCCATGGCGGCCACCCAGGCAGGCAGAGGAGGCGATTGCGTTGAAGAAGAGATAGGCCAACGGGTGCGTGAGAGACAGCTGCTGAGAGAGAGAGCGAGAGAAAGATGGGGCCAGAGAGAGAGAAGGGCCAGTGACCGGGCAGACAAGATGACCCAGACAAGCCCGGAGAGGAAGTCGCTTAGTTCCAGGGAATGACGTGTGCCCCCCTCCCGCCCCCACAAACATGCAAACCTCGGAGAGCTAAGCGAATGGCAGGCCGCCTCGGTGAGGCGGGGCCCTGATTGTAGCCAATGGCGAGCGGCACATGGCGAGGGGCGGGGCAGCTGCAGCAGCTGTGTTCCGAGAGAGGAGAGGTTAGGTCTGGGGAGGGGGGCGGGGACCTGTCAAAATGCCCCAGACTGCACCACCTCCCCCTGCCCCTCATTGGTCTACATGGGTCCCCTGGGACGTACAGAGCGTTATCCTCAGCCTCTCACTTCCCGTTTTTCCTTCCTAGGCAAATGTTCTTTTCTGCCTCACTAATCCCCGTGGCGAGTTTGTAAGTCCCCTGAGCCCAGCTGGAACCATCCACTTCGGCCCCTTGGCTGCCACACTGTGGGGGCAGATTCGAGGCCCAAAGAGTTTGGGCTAATCCAGTCCCCTTCCCTGATCCCACCCCACCCTAACCAGTCCCAGGAGACGTGGCTGGAGAAGCCAGTGGGTTCCAAAGACTTCTTTCTCACAGTCTGCACCTAATGACACTGCCTGCCCGCTGCTGGTCCAGGCGGATGAGTTGCCTATCAGCTCTCCTGGAGTCCCACATATCACACAGGAAGTGAGAGAAATCTAGTCCCCACTCACCATGTGTTGGGATTCTTAGTTCTTTGTTGACAAATTTACCCTGTATCTACTCTGTGCATATGAGCTGAAAAATAGTATCTATAAACCTAACCCTCCTGTTGTATTCATGTGCTAAATAGTGTTCTAAGCATTTTCCTACTTAAAATGGATGTCAAGGCTTTTGAAAGTAGGCAGTATAGCTAACATCACTGCTGTTAGTAACAGGCATTGGGGAACTTCAGTCAAACCATAGACCTTTCCTGTGCTCCATCCAGGAGCTTGCGGGTGGGGGAGATGCAGAGTTTTCAGTGCTAGGCTGTAATTCCTAGGAGCAGAGGTCTTCACTAAAACCACACAGAGGACAATTCAGTTAGTCCCAGAAGGCCTCCTGGAGGAGGTAGACTGCTGTAAACAGTGTCAATTCTCCACCCATGACCTTTGTCCCCTGGGCTCCTGTCATCGCTGACTCACCCCTACTACCGCCTCCCCCTCACCAACTTCCTGGCAACAGGCAAAAGTGCTGGCCAGTGGGAGTCTGGGAACCAGCACTGGGACAGGCCTAGCACTAATCTCTGAAGGTCCCATCCGGTTCTTCCTTCCAGGGTGCAAGGGCAGCCGATGCCTCTGTGGAGGCCTCTGTCTTCCTCCTTCCCTGTGTCTCTGAGATAGATCTGTGTTAGAAAGAGGGCCAGGACCCTGGTGCATGTGGAGAACACTCTGGAGAGACCACCTGAGGTAGCAGGCAGGTCTTCAGGGTCCTCCTCCTGCCTGGCTCTGTCTATCAACTTCTATGAGGAAGGCTGAGGAGGAGGGAACTGTGGGCACACTGCATAGAGTTGGAGGGCCCTTCCCTGCCTCATCGTTCAGGCTAGACCAAGTCAAATCTTCCCTCCATCTGCTTTATAAACTGAGTGGGACCCATATCCATGGTGAAGGCACCCTGCTGAGCAGTGTGTGTGTTGGGGGATGGCGTGGCAGAGAGGCCAGTTTGGGAAGAGCAGTTAGGTGTTGAGTCCAGTCAGGTATGGTGGAAATACTATGCCCAGGTTCTATGTGACTGGCCACTTCTCCCTGGAGACCCTCAGCAAGGGGCCCTCGGCCTGTAAAAAAGGTATGTAGTACCTATTTTCTGAGTCCACAAAGCCTAGAGGGAGCAGAGAGCTATGGGTGGGGCAGACCCCTCCTCATTCCTGGTGCCTCCCACCCCTGAAAGCTGATAGCCGTGGGGCCTGCCACCGCCCAGGGAGCGTGAAATGGGGTGTGCCGCTGGGCGGCCACAGCAGCTCCCACTGCTGCCTGGGCCTATTCTCTTTTCTCCTTTGGCAGCTTCTGCCACCCTGACCTGCTCTGTGGATGCTGGTTGGGGCATTCCTAGCTGGTACCCCTTGCTCTGCCTGGCTAAGGCCCAGCTAGACTCACCCATTGGGCCTGTAAGATGTCTCCTGTGATTTTCAACTCCTCCCAGGCCTCTGAAAGAGAACCGGTGGGCAGCCCAAGTGCAGGATCCTTAGGAATGACCTTATGGCCTGGGTAGAGGGACTTCCCAGGAAGCAGGTATTCCTCTAACCAGAGTGCAATGGGACTGGACTCCAGTGGAAGATTGGGAAGAATGGTCCCTGACCTGCTAGTGTCCTTCTTCCTTCATGTGGCATCTGGATCCCTAAGATCCATTGGCAATTAGACTGGCTCCCAGTCTGCCTGCCTTGTGCCTTTCCTTCTTTCTCCCCTAACTGTGTCCATCTCCTGTCCCCTTCCTGCCTAGAGTCCCTTCCTCAGGCTTCTTTCTGAGCATATTCCCCAAACTACTCTCCTGGGCTGTCACAGTTCAGGCCTCTGGCTGGAGGTCAGTTCCAGGACTAAGGGGGAAGGCTGAGTTCTGTCTTCTGTGAGAAGGGCCTTGAGGTCCAGGCATAAGTTCCTGTGTCAGTCCTGACACCCAGAGGCTGGGGATGAGAGTTACTCTTGTGCTTTGGGAGCACTCAACTGCTTGCTTAGGAGTCAAGACTGAAGTTCAGGGGAACCCAGGAGAGAAAAGAACCAGAACATGAGCCCAGAGCCTTCCTGGGAGCCTGCCACTGAGTGTTCTAGGTGAAGGGAAATTAGGCCTGATTTAGTTCAGACAATGTGGCAGGACTGGAAGAGGACTATGCCTGTACAGCAGCACATGTACCCTGAGAACCCTTTTCCTCCTCCACATGATAAAGCTTGTGGGGAGAACTGGGAGGGGCAGGGGAGGTAGAGGCATGTGGAATGGGGGAGCAGCTGCCCAGGACCCAGCAGGCTGTGGGGTAGACCTTCTCTCTTTCTAGTACCTCCTTCCTCAGGCCCTGACACTCACCCTATGCTTGAAATCAGGTCAGTTTAGGGTATATGACCAGCTCTATGAGTACCTCTACCTCAACTTCTCACTGACTTTGACCCCATTTATTTCCATGTAAGCCATAGTCCTTTGGTAGCTCCTCCTAATGCCTCATTACCCTCCCAAACACCTCTCCAGAGTAGTCTCTGGGCCTAGTGGGCGTAAGGGGTGAGGACCTGTGGGGAGGAGAGGATCTTGGTCCTCTGATGTACCTTCTTCCCTGCCTCTACCACCCTCCATACTTAATTCTCAAATAGGCTATCCCAGTTCTGGTGAAATTCTGGAGATTTGAAAAGGTGGCCTTCTAGACATTCCTCACCTTGGCCACCAGGTGTCAGACTTTGTCTAAGCAGGAAGGAAGTTCCCCAACAGCCAGGTCTTGGAGGTAGGGCAAGTTGGAGAGGTGACCTGTGAACTAGCAAGCCCCAGGGACTCTGGAGGTTGAGACTGGAAAAGAATCAGAACTCTGGCTGGAAAGCTTTCCGCTATTATTCTCTCACTGCTCCCTATAACCCCACTAACAAGGGCTTTGTCCCCTTCTGGGAAATTTGAGTGTCAATCTGAGTCAGGCAGCTCAAAAATGGAAAGGACAAAGGCAGGGGGCAGTTAGGACTCCAGAGAAAGAAGAAGAGAGAGAGAGAGCTAAGAGGGAACAGCTAGGCCTGAATCACTGGCCCTTGTGCTGTAGGCATAGGGGAACAGAGGACCGCCCTCTGCCCCTCCATTGAGACTGCTGTGGCTGTGGTAAGCGGCGTATGTGTGTGAGAGATGTCTGGGTGAGTCCCCTCACATGCCAAGGTCCTGGGTGTTGGGTCAAGAAGCTGGCAAGGCCTGATAATTTGCCACTTCCCACATCTACTCTTATCCTCCTTTTTTTCCTCGTGACAATTTTCTATCTTGTGCTCATGCTCTCAAACACAGCTGCATGTCTAAGCACCAAGATGACAAGACACATGCTCTCTAGAGATGACGGAGAGGGTCCTCTTCCTCTTTCTTTCCCCTGTCTTTCCTGAGGTAAAACTTAGACAACCAAAGAAACCTCATCCAATCTCAGGAAAGCACTTTTTTTTTTTGAGGGAGGGGGGTTGGTCATGGGGCTTGAACTCTGGGCCTGGGCACTGTCCCTCAGCTCTTCAGCTCAAGGCTAGCGCTCTATCACTTGAGCCACAGCGCCACTCTAGTTTTATGATGGTTTATTGGAGATCAGAGTCTCACAGGCTTTCCTACCCAGGTTGGCTTTGAACTGTGATTCTCAGATCACAGCCTCCTAAGTAGCTAGGATTATAGGCGTGAGCCACCAGCACCTGGCTCTAGTACTGTAGTCTCTTCCTCCTTGATTCTCTGCCATTCCTACCTTGGAAGTCCTCAAGCTTTGGAACGTGTCCTGTCTTTACTATCCCTACTCTAATCATCTTTGGTTTGGTGAAAAACTGTCATAACTGGCTAAGTGCTGGTTGCTTATATCTGTAATCCTAACTACTCAGGAGGCTGAGATCTTAGGATCACAGTTTGAAGCCAGCTTGGGCAGGAAAGTCCATTAGTCAATCACCAAAAAACTGGAAGTGGAGCTATGGCTCAAGTAGTAGAACACTAGCCTTCAGCAAGAAAAACTGAGGGACAGTGCCCAGGCCCTGAGTTCAAGCCCCAGAACAGAAAAAAAAAGGAAGGAAGAACCAGTCATAACCCATACTCAGTAGGTCCATAACAAACATGTGTCTGCTCAGATCACCTAGTTCTTTCATATGGCTTCCAGCAAGACTCTGTATTGTGTTTGTCTCCTTAGTCCACGCCCCAAACTCCTCCATTCTTCTCCAGCCACCACCTCCTCACTCAGCAATAACATGTTTAGATCTCTTCTATTTAAATACAACCACCACAAAACAAACAAAAAGCCTTCCTTGATCTGTCCTTTTACCAGCAAACTCTGAGAGAATATATTTACCCTTTCTACTTTCTTCCTTTTGTATTCATTTGCCTCACAATTTTGTGTCTGCCCTTCACTTGCTTCTTCCACAGTTCCTTGGGCTTTCACACTGCTCAAGCCAGTGGGTTTCTCTGTACGTTCTTCCCTCAGTTCCTCTGCAACACCTGGGACTGTCAGTCAGCTACCACCTTCAAACTCTCTTCTCTCAACTTCTAAACTCTTGTTGGATACTCTTTAAATCAACTTAAATCAAATTACTAAGGACTTTACTGTGCCAGCCATCATGCTAAAATACTGTCAGGATATACAGATGAACAGTCCTGAAATCTGCTCTTAAGAGGCTATCTGTGGGCTAGGAATGTGGTTTAGTGGTAGAGTGCTTGCCTAGCATGCATGAGGCCCAGGATTCAATTCCTCAGGACCACATAAACAGAAAAAGCCAGAAGTGGCAAGCTGAGAATGTGGCTTAGTGATAGAGTGCTTGCCTAGCATATAGGAAGCCTTGGGTTCAATTCCTCAGTACCACATAAACTGAAAAGGCAGAAGTGGCTCTGTGGCTCAAGTGGTAGAGCTGAAAAGGCAGAAGTGGCTCTGTGGCTCAAGTGGTAGAGTGCTAGCCTTGAGCAGAAGAAGCTTAGGGACAGTGTCCAGGCCCTGAGTTCAAGCCCCAGGATTGGGGGCGGGGGGGTAAAGCCAGAAGAGGCTCTGTAGCTCAAGTGGTAGAGTACTAGCCTTGAGCAAAAAGAAGCTCAGGGACAGCCCAGGCCCTGAGTTCAAGCTCCAGGACTGGCAAAAAAAAGAGGCTGTGTGAAAAGGAGACAGAATGCACCTCTAACTTGTGTGCTGTCCTATCTCCACCTGTCCAAAATGTGCCTGTCTTCTGAGTAGTGCCAAATCTCTCCTCATGCATTGATGCTATATGCCAATACAAACTGTAGCAATGGCCTCACATACTACTTTATCTCCGAGGGTTCCCAGCCTAGAGAGCCTTCACCTCACAGAATGTGGTCCCTCTTTCCTTCTTCCGGTGTTCTTGTCCAGGCCTTTTTTCCTACAGTTGATCAAATTCTTCTTTATTAGCCTAGTTTTTGAGGGAAGTGTTCCTTTTCTAGATAGTTCTTCTGTTTCATACACCTTAGAATACCTTAGGCTGGAGCCTGAGTTGAGTGCTGAGTTAGAGAAAAGAGTAAGACTTAGAAGCTTCCTCCTAAGAAACTCATAGTATAGCATGGTGTAAGCTTCACGAGGGCAGGACGCCCACATTCCCTCTTGTCTTCTTTATAGCCCCTATACATAGCAGGCCATGACACAGTTTACCTCTGCATGGAGGTGGCAGACACTCTTTTTGTTTTGTTAGGCAGAGCTAGGGTCCGTGGGTGCCCATGGCCAGGCCTGGTCAAATGTCTGGGCCCACAGAGGTGGGGCATGTTCCACTTGGGCCAGGGGACTCTCAGACAGTCCACAGAAGCTGGCTAGCTCACAAGTAGGTCTAGCAGATACACCACCACTCTGACCTCACCCTTTTCTAGAGATTCACAGTGTAGTACCTCCTTTAGATTATATATATATATATATATATATATATATATAGCTTTGTTCCTTATTATTTTAGGGAGCCAAGTAGATTGCAAGTTGTATAAGGGCAGGAGACAAGTTAGGTCTTAGATTTCTCTTGCCTTTCATATGCCAGTTAGCACTGTAATGGGAAGGGTAGATCTTTAAAATACCTGTCAACTGACTGACATAGTCATCATTTATTACTTCCCTGCCTAAGGCATTGTTTCCAGAAGGCCCTAGTAAAACATTTATGTATTACCTGGGAACAACTAGCTCATTAATTTACCCAGTGGCTGTGAGCTAGTGTCACAGCAGATATCCCTGCATGTCCTAAGTAATCTGGAAATACTGTCACTGCTGCTGCTACAACCTAGCGTCCTATCTTGTTTCTGTTACCCTCTCTGATAATCATTTCATAATTCCTATTATATATAAGGGAAAACTAGACGAAAAGAGCTCTAGTTTGTCCAAGGTGTTTCAGCTAGTAGTCTATGACAGTGGCATTTGAACTAGATCATCCCTCAAATAGTATCCTACCCATTCTCTGGCAGTCCAGTAAAGGCTTTCTCTCCCCCCAAATATACTGTTATTCCTTGGAGAGAAATGAAGAGTCATAGCTGAGAATTGTGACTTGGCCACAGACCATCACCATACCTAAAAGAGGAAGAGTATTGATTTAAAGTGAGCATCTCAGTAGAAAGCCGCTAGTAGGTGGCCTGGGAGAACTGGGGACTGTCTGTTGGGGGTGGGGGTGTGTGAGGGGGACTACTTATAGAGAGCTTGAGAGGGCCAAGGAACAGAGCAATAGCTCTGCTCACCAAGTGCAGAATGAGCTACAGGGCAGAAGTTGAAGGCAAGAAGACAAACCTGGGGACAATAAGGCAGGCCAGAAGCAAGGAAGGCTACCTGGGAGGATCAGGCCAACATGGGCTGCTGGTGGAGCAGGAGTGGACAGGTCCAAGAAGTGCACACTCCCCCAGGCCCAAAAGGAAGACAGCCTCTTCCTTAAGCCTTGTACACCTCCAAGGGGTGAAAGGTCAGTGGTAACTAGGGCAGGCAGAGCCCTGTGAGAAGGCTTAGATCAGGCAAGTAGACAGTTCTGGGGCAAGCATTTTATTTGTTAATACAAGAATAGAAATTCTGCAATAAATATCATCTAATAAATAACATCTCCAAATAAATAAATATTAATACAACAAACTTAAGAGTCATGAGTGGGTGTGGCTGGGGGCAGGGCCTAGGGGAGCTGCCCCCACCTCACAATGCTACTGCAATGTAAACTCTCAGGAAACCCTGAAGCTCAGGCTGGGGCTGCCCTCCCCAGCCCAGCAACCACAGACGCCTTGGGAATGGGGATGGAGAGGAGGCACTGTGATGCCGGCAAGAAAATTCAAGGCAAGGTCCTAATGCCCAACATGGCTTCTGTTGCCTTGGTGACTTGTGGGTCTGATCTTTCCCTCACCCTTTTGGCTTCTAGGTCACCTCCTGTACAGATCCCACTCCTTCCATTTTTCATCTCTTCTTGTTTGGACTCATTGCCATGTTTGTTTCCTGAATTTGATGCATATTGTTATTGGGCTAGGGCAGCAACACCCATCCAAGGAGAGAGGGGCAGCCAAGGGGCTTCACCCTCCAAAGACGTGCTATGGTGGCCTCCACCCCTATCCTCCAGGTGTGCTTCTGCAAATGACGTATGTGGGGCTAGGTGGGCACTGGCAGGTGGTAGCAGGAAACAGGCAGCAGTGAATGCCTTCGCACCCACTCAAGCCACCTAAGGTAACTTCCTCAAGAGTTACCTCTGTGGAAACAGGATGGCATCCATTGTCCCTGTGCTCTAGACCCACAGGACTCTGAGATCGGGGCAGGGGATGGGGCCTATTGCACCACCCTGCCATCCAAGACCAGGGAGGACCAGAGCACCTGGCATCTGGCTCCTGGCTCAACAAGTGTTGGCATCTAGGTTCCTCCCTCCTCCTCCAGAATGGGAGCAGGACTTGAAGGGCACGGCTGGGGGTGGGGGGAGAGGAAGAGGGGGAAATGATTAAGGTCGGAGATCAGAAGCCATGGGCCTCCAGGTGCAAGGTGACCGCAGCTGCTGGAGGTTGTATCTTCTTCTTAAGCCGGTTGAAGTCCTTGGCTGAACGCCACAGCCAGGTCTGCAGCTCCTTCAGCAGCCAGAAGTCATCCATCTTCTGGAGGAAGTCGCTGTGGGCAGGGCCAGGGGCCCAAGTGGGCTCAGTCCCAGGCAGAGGCTGGGGCAGCGGGTAGCCCAGAGCCGCCATGACACCTGCGATGCTGCCCAGCAGGCCCTGGAGGCTGGTGCAGAAGTGTGCCAGGCTACGGCGCAGCTCGGCTGTGGCAGCCTGACGGTTGAGGCCACGCAAGTAACACAGGAGGTGGCTGTAAGCCTCATAGTTCTGGGTCAATCGCAGTTTGTCATTGAGGCTTCGCCACACTTCCAAGTTGACAGTGGCCCTGGGCAGAGTCTCTGCCCCTAGCCGAGGAGGGTTGAAGTCAGGCTCATTGAAAGGGGGCCCCAGGTAGTTCAGCTGTGAATAGAGGAAGGTGAAGGGCAGGAGGACAGAGCCGTCAGCTTTCCACCAAGGAGATAACCTGTCCCCAAAGCTTCTATGGCTCGTGTCCCCTGACACTAGCCCTGGCTCGTGTTAGGCCTCTGTTCACAGTGCTCCCCTCCCTGCCCCCCCACCCCACCCCCGGCAAGGATGTCATTTGTACAGAGGCAACAACAAAGGAGTGGGGTGATGAGCTCTCCTGTGGAGAAAACCACGCAGGAGCTGCTCGGGAAGGATGTGCCAACTGTCTTGGTGGCAGGCCTTGGGACAGTTCACCACAGAGTAGGCCAGTGAGGAAGAAGAGCCACGAGGAGCAGGAGGCCAGGCTGGAGAGGTAGAAGTGGCCCAGGAGAGTGCAGAGGCCGAGGAAGAGGAGCTGAAGAAGGCAGCAGTGGAAGGAGCTCCACAGTGCAGCTGCAAAACAGAGCCAGGAGAGTGAGCTGCAGAAAACGTGTGTTGTAGGGTTTGGCGAGGAGGAGATGCCTGACGACCTGGGAGAGAACCGTTGCCATGGCCTGGAAGCCAGATTGCAGGGGGTTAAGGAGTGAGTGGGTGGAAAGGAAGTGGAGGCAGAGGGTGTAGACCACTCCTTCAAGAAATTTGGCAGGGAAGGCAAGGAGAGAAAAAGGGTCGGGAGCTGGAGGGGGTAGTGGAGTCAAGCAAAGGGTTTCTGTACTGGGAACCTAGAGAGGAGCACTGGGGGTCAAAGGCAGAGGGGCCTGTTGGCATCAGAGATCCTCTTTGACATCTGGGTCCCCCAGCTGAAGGGATAGGGGACTGAAGGGAACTCACCGACACCCCAAGGCAGGGTCCTGCTGCTAGAAGCAGGGCTGTAGAAGGAAGAAACTGAGGCAGTTTGAGGAGGTGGGAGGGAGGGTATGAAAGGCAATGTGCTGCAGGGAAGAGGGCAAAACCCTTGCCAACCCTCAGGGGAACGGCCTGGGGCCCAGGGAAGGGGATGTGGGAGATGTATAACTGGGAGGGAAAGAAGAGGGGCGAGGCCTGGGATAGGCAAGGGCCCAGGGGGAGGTTCACACGCTGACAAGCACAGAGACAAACTAATTTCCTCGGTGTATCCTGGGGCTGGAGCCAGCTCCCCCGCCACCCTCCTCCCTTTTCCTTCCCTGGCTCCAGAGTAGGGTCTGGGATATAGAAGAGGAACACGGGAAGAGGGGGCCAGTTCCCCATGGTCCTCAGCATTTCTGACCCCCCCCTTCCTTCTCTCCTGGACCACCCTTAAATCCCTATGGCATAACTGCTCTCCACACCCTAACCCCCCTGCTGGCCTGGGCCCTCTGCAGCCCCTTCCCTGATAAACCCCCTAGGAAGCCTGGCTAGGATGGGAGAGGCAGACAGAGGGAGGCCCATGGGTCCACAGAAACAGGGCCCCAGGTCTGGGGGCAGAGGCGAGCTGGAACACAGGCATAGAAGGTGGGGCCCCTCCATCCCCACCCAGCCCCACCCGTGCAAGAGACACCACAACACGGTGTAAACAGAGGAGACTTCCCCGGCCCCCAGGGGGAGGCGGGCGGCTGGGCTGGCAGCCAGTGGGGCAATGGGCCAAGGCGGGTGCGAGGCCTGCCCACATGCCTAGTCCTGGGGCCAGGATGGGGAGGGGGAGGGCATCTAAGAAGAAAGGGCAGGAGATAGGCCAGACAGGAAGACTTCTGGGAGCTAAAGGACCCCTCAACACCCCATCATTCATTAGGATACCCTCTACCATAGCTCTCTTCCCCAAAATCCCTGGTAACTCTTCACCCAGTGCCCAGACTAAGCTGGATACTCACGTAGGTCCCCGCCAGGCTGCGGAGTTGGTGTTCCAGGTAGCGGGTGAGGTCATAGGTTTTCTGGATGGAGGGGCCAGGCCCTGGGTCCCCTGTGCGATTGAGAGCTGGCACTGCCGGTACGTGCCAGAGCACCGTGCATAGGCAAGCTAACATCCCCCACGAGTCCCCTGTGGATAGGATGGGCAAGAAATATGAGGGCGGGCCCAAGCTCAAGTGGAGAAATAGCTGGCAACCCCTCAGGTGTCTGTCCCCACCTTGGGCTGGGAGGGGGTGAGGGTGAGACACCAGATGGAAGGTGGGATGGAAGAAGGGAAACGTTCCTAGTCCAAGTGTGAGTGTGTATGTGTGTGTAAGGATGAGGATTTGGCATATGTATCTATCAGTAGATATTTGAGTATACATCTGTCAGCTGAGCAAACCTTTGGCAGCTATGTCACTGTGTATATGTGTGAATCTATTTGTAGGTATACTTGGCCCTGGCCCTGGGAACTATGGGTCGATATGCTGGGGTTCCAGTGGCACCCCAGCCTCTTCTCCCAGTCTTCTAGTCCCACTGCAGTCTGGAGGGAGCCAAGGGGTGGCCATCTATGAGTTTTCACTCAGTGGGAGGGTGAGGAGAGATGCTACAGCCATGGGAGCTGGGTAGGATTAGGGTCAGGCTGAAGGATCCAAGGCTAGCTATGTTGTCATAGCTAGCTATGGTGGCCATATATAGTAGGATATAGTTCCTGAGTGTAGGAAGTGTGGGTAGTAAGATTAAAGGAGATTTAACATTCCCCTTAGACATTAGTAGCAATGTGGAGGTCTGCACTATTCTTATTTGGGGAATGAAGGGAGGGTACCAAGAGAGAGAAGTACTTGCTGAGTTGGGTGGTTAGCTGAAGACATGAAGATGTTCGAGTGCTTGTACCCCCCTGTCATCAGTGATCCAGAGGTTATAAGGACCATGGGCACTTTAGAAACATGCTTTTCTGGGCTTTTAGATGAGGCCCAGCCTCAGGATCCAGTGTATATTTGGGAAAGGATAGGGAAGGGATACATTGGCTTTGAGGATTAGGTTACTTTTAGTATTTCAGATTAGTTTAGACTTGGGATGTGGTTGAAGTTTGGTCCAACAGGGAGATATGGTTAGGTTTAGGCAGGTTTATGAATTTACTGACTTACATGTCAGATGGTTTTTAATCTTGGATAGGTGTGAGGTCTAGTTTATATTTTATACTTCCAATTTTTTGTTTGCCAGTCCAGGGGCCTGAACTCAGGGCCTGGGCACTGTCCCTAAGCTGCTTTTGCTCAAGGCTAGCACTCTTACCACTTGAGCCACAGGGCTACTTCTGGTTTTTTTGTTTATGTGGTACTGAGGAATCGAACCCAGGGCTTCATGCATGCTAGTCAAGCACTCTATCACTAAGCCACATTCCCAGCTCCATCGAAATTTTTCTGTAATGACATGTTTCTTAGATAGTTAGAAACCAGTTGGATAGGTTTAATGATTTGTACTTAAGAGTGAGGATTAGGTTTGGAGTTAAACAAGAATGAAGATGAGATTAGTTTTAGAGTTTGTTATAATGCTTGGTCTTTAGGGTTTTAGAGAGGGCTATTATCCAGGACAGTATAAAATGTCACTCATGGAGTACAGGTGGGAACTTTCACTGTGGCTCAGTTACTCAGTGTGGACTATCAGATGCTTGACTGGCTGGTTTTACTAGTGAAGTATTAGGATAAGAGTGCCACCTGCCACAGGAGCTCTGTCCTTTGGGGTAAAGGGCTCACAGTTTGAGTGTGTGTGTGTGTGTGTGTGTGTGTGTGAGAGAGAGAGAGAGAGAGAGAGAGAGAGAGAGAGAGATTTAAGATAGAACAGTCAGGCACATAGCTGCTCCCTGAGCAAACCGGCTTCACTTCCCTCTCCCCATTTTCAGCCTGAACTACCCTTCCAAATATTCCTTCTTCAGTCTTCCTTTCCATCCCTAGATCTTGCCTGACTTTCTGTTCCTTGCCATTCCCCTATCTTCACATCCTAAGACAACTCCAGGTCCTCTTCCTCTGTACAAAACCCTAAGCTAACTTCTGCCTGGTGATCTGTCTTCTTGTCTTCATTCCCTCGGTGTCCTGCAGGGTTAGTTTTGGAGATTAGGGACTTTCTGAAGGGAGCAATGCCTCCACCCTCAAGCCTTGAAGTAGCTTTCATGATGGAGTTTGGTCTTGCTGGAAGGTAATGGTAATGCCAAGGTCTTACTGAAGCAAGAATTAGGGGCTTGGCTGGCCTCTTTGCCCCATAGCAGGAAGCAGGCGGTCTGGTCAGGCGCCCAACCCTGGGCCTGTTTCCCCTCCCCTCCTGGGCCCTGGGGGACTTCCCTGGGGGACCAGATCCCTACACAAGGACAGCAGCGGGAGAAGCCTTTGGATAAACAAGAGCTAAGTCATCTGGGCAGAAAAACGGCTCATGAAATTAACCAGACGAGGCCGAGGCCCGTGTTTCCAGGAATATTTCAGTTCTGAGGTAACTGTGTCACTGCAGGCTGGGAGGTGGGGGGGGGGCAGGAGAGAGCAGAAGGAGTGACTGACCAGTCCTGGAAAGAAGCAGAAAGAAGGAAGGCGTCTCAGAAACCAGAGAAAGAAGAGGCCAGGAGAGGAGAGAGAGCAGGTGATAGGACCGCATCGCACCCTCCGTGACAAGGGCTCGCCTGCGGGCAGGTATGCCATGTTGGCAGCACAGTAGGAAGTGCCTGGGGAGAGAACACCTGAGTTCAGTATAGACCTAGAAGCCTGGTGCAGCTTGGTCTCCTGTGTCTCTAGGTGGAAGTGTGTGTTGGGCCTCCTGGAGTCCTCAACTACCCTCCTTTCCAGCTCATGGTGTGCAGGTGGACCCTACTATGGGCAGTGTCCCAGGCCCCTCCCCCAGCCCTGGCCCCCAGCCCATGGGGCCCCAGCTCTGCCTCTGGCTGCTGCCCACTGATTGTTTACATCCCGTCTTCTCCTTGTGTTTATAAATCCGGCTGAGCACGTGAGGAGCTAATGAGTGCAGCTCACGTTTCCTGCTGCAGCCCCCCCCCATCCTGGCCCCCACCCGGCCAGCCCCTAATTCTATCCAGATCCCTGGGCCCTGGGAACCAAGGCTCCCCTCATGAACACACACAGTCTTAGCCCATGCAATCACAGGGCCACCCTGACACACTGCATAGGCAGGCACGCCCGCCCGTGTCTGTGTCTTCAGCCAGCTGCCCTCAGTTCCTGGCCTATCCCACAGGCTGACCTCGCTCAGTGAGGCTGGAGGTTCAGTGGTGTAAACGTCTAGGGTGGCTGGGGTAGATACTCTGCACCTGGGCCTGGAGACTGAGAGCTATAAGCTTAAATGATGGGGCCAGGGAGGCATTGAGAATCCCAGAAGTAGTTGCAGGCTATGCTAATAAAAATGGGAAGCAAGGAAAGGCTCTACCCTGTCTAGACCAGGGGCCGGCATCTGAGTGACCTTGGAGGAATCTGTTGAGGTGAACTGACCAGGGGTGGCCTAGGAGGTGGTGGTGTACACACTGGTATGAGGTCCAGGAGTGGCACTATGGGTACCTTCTGCCCTGCCCACCCAGGGAAAGGCCCACAGAAACCCAGCTTTCTCCATCCTTTTGGGCTTGCTGCCCTCTCTTCTTTCTCTCCTTTCTGTTCTTCTTAGTTATCTTTTCTTGGACTGTTGAGAAGTAGTGGGATGAATGGGGGGGGGGCACAAGGACCTGTAAGTCAGGAGACCTAGCTTTGCCTCAGGACCCCATCTGGTAACAGTGGTGTTGCATGAGAAGGTCTACTGAACATGCTGAAGGTCATCCATGCTGAAATGAGGGCTTCATCTCTATCTCCTCTATCCTCTCCAGTCCTCTCCCTCTTCTTCCCTTCCAGCCCACAAGTGTCAGAAAGAGAACAGATACAGGGCAAAGAGCATCAGGCCAGAGCAGCTCCTGCCTTGTGAAGTCAGTCCCAGGAGTTGGGCTTCCACAGAGGCAGAGGATGCCGGACTGTGCCACAAGAGGGCCCTGGATGTGCTCGGTGCTCCAGAGAGCTGGGCAAAGCCAGGGGGCTGAGCAGCCTCAGAAGCCAGAGGCAGGGAAAAGCAGTGAAGGAAAGCGTTCAGGGCAGTGTGTGGGTGATCAGGAAAGGGTGTTGCTATCAAGAGTGTGCAAGAGGGTGTGGGAGGGGCTGGAGAGCGCTGGAGCCTGGGTGTGAGCAGGCAGGTGGGACTGCGGGGAGGAATGTGAAGTGTCAGGAATCAGAAGCCAAGCCGTGTGGCAGGGGGTGGCCTGCAGAAGTGTGAATGGAAGGAGGGCGGGCGGGAGGAAGCCACTACCCTGCTCAGTTGTAGACACCCTGGGGCTGCCCAGGGACAGTTGCTGCCTCTCCGTCTGTCCCCGGGCAGCCAGTGTGCACAAGCTGGCGAGGGAGGACTGTGAGCTCGTGCCTAGAGCCAGAGTAGAGGTCTGTCAGGAGCAGCGAACGCCAGGGATGTCCCAGGTCAACGTCCCGGCTCCCCACCCCAGCCTCTCTCCAAGGCTCGGGCTGCCCTGCCATGCCCCCTGCCTCCTTTCTCTCTTGAGCTCTGGAGGACTCGGGGGTCCGAGGGAAAGGCTGCTGGGGCCCCGCGTGGAGCTGCAGAAGGGAGAGAGCCCGAGGCCGCGCGGACTTGGGGTTTGCTTGGGGGCTCAGCCCGGGAATTGTGCCGCGGTGGCTGGTCGCCGGCCTCGCTCCTCGGAGGTGACCTCCGGCTCCGAGCCCTCCCGGTGGCGGTGGCGCCTTCCCCTTGTGTGGCCCCGACGCCCCCCGCCCCGCCCCCCGCCCGCTCCC